ATGCTGAAAGCTCCCCCCACCGGAGTCAGCACGGAGTGAGATGAGGCCACAGCCTTGAAGTCATATGCGGTGATGGACGAGGTACTCCATCACCGCACCGGTCATCACCTCCTCTCCCAGAAGGGTCCAGATGTGGAGTCTGGAGAAAGTATGTGACTGCCAGGGAGGCATGCCTTATGGCCATTTTAGAGGCCGTAATTAAGAAGTAGTTTTATGTATTTTGCATTTATTTTATTAATTCATAAATGTTCTACTGTTTTTTGGTGAAGTCCTTTTTTAAAAACCCAATGTGGATTTCTGTTGTCATAGAAAAGTGTTTTGTTTGTTTGTTTGTTTGTAATAAAACACATTATTTGATACCGGTCCATCTACTGTTGGTGTGTTTTACTTTCAACTATTCAACATTTAAAAAATGCACACGTACATCTGAACTATGTTGTTGCAGGTGCATGGTAACAATTAGATAAGTTTAAAGAAAAAACAAACCTACACACTGCTCTTCCTAGTATCACTTTTTTTTACTGAACCTAACGTGTCGGCCTCTTGGGCTTCGTCAGAGCTTTTTACTCTACTAAAATAAATAAACCATTTTTGGGATAATACTAATTGATTCCATTTATATAGCGCTTTTCATCCCAATCTCAAAGCGAATCAAAAGAAACAAACAAGCAATACATCATGATTAGCCTTGCTATAGTTGGCTAGGTCAACCAATACATTATCATAAGTAGCCTAGTAATAGTTGGCTAGGTCAACCAATACATTGTCATGAGTAGCCTAGTTATAGTTGGCTAGGTCAACCAATACATTATCATAAGTAGCCTAGTTATAATTGGCTAGGTCAACCAATACATTATCATAAGTAGCCTAGTTATAGTTGGCTAGGTCAACCAATACATTGTCATGAGTAGCCTAGTTATAGTTGGCTAGGTCAACCAATACATTATCATAAGTAGCCTAGTTATAGTTGGCTAGGTCAACCAATACATTGTCATGAGTAGCCTAGTTATAGTTGGCTAGGTCAACCAATACATCATCATGAGTAGCCTAGTTATAGTTGGCTAGGTCAACCAATACATTATCATAAGTAGCCTAGTTATAGTTGGCTAGGTCAACCAATACATCGTCATGAGTAGCCTAGTTATAGTTGGCTAGGTCAACCAATACATCGTCATGAGTAGCCTAGTTATAGTTGGCTAGGTCAACCAATACATCATCATGAGTAGCCTAGTTATAGTTGGCTAGGTCAACCAATACATCGTCATGAGTAGCCTAGTTATAGTTGGCTAGGTCAACCAATACATCGTCATGAGTAGCCTAGTTATAGTTGGCTAGGTCAACCAATACATCGTCATGAGTAGCCTAGTTATAGTTGGCTAGGTCAACCAATACATCGTCATGAGTAGCCTAGTTATAGTTGGCTAGGTCAACCAATACATCATTATGAGTAGCCTAGTTATAATTGGCTAGGTCAACCAATACATTGTCATGAGTAGCCTAGTTATAGTTGGCTAGGTCAACCAATACATCGTCATGAGTAGCCTAGTTATAGTTGGCTAGGTCAACCAATACATCATTATGAGTAGCCTAGTTATAGTTGGCTAGGTCAACCAATACATCGTCATGAGTAGCCTAGTTATAGTTGGCTAGGTCAACCAATACATTATCATGAGTAGCCTAGTTATAGTTGGCTAGGTCAACCAATACATCGTCATGAGTAGCCTAGTTATAGTTGGCTAGGTCAACCAATACATCATCATGAGTAGCCTAGTTATAGTTGGCTAGGTCAACCAATACATCATCATGAGTAGCCTAGTTATAGTTGGCTAGGTCAACCAATACATCGTCATGAGTAGCCTAGTTATAGTTGGCTAAATCAACCAATACAACATCATGAGTAGCCTAGCTATAGTTGTTTAGGTCAACAAATAGAGGCCAAGTCTTTGAGGGCATGCATCCTCCAAAGATGGAGAGGGACAGTACATGGCTTGATCAGAGGAAGGTGGTCAGGGAGAGTGTTGATGAAGATGGAGTCTGGTGACGATCTTGTACAGCGCCACTCTGGGAACCGTGTAGCCACTTCTCAATGTATGGCGCCCACTTGGGTGTTGCCTCAGCAGCTCTGGGCGCCAGAAAGCTCGACCACAGACAGTTCAGAGTAGTAGCCAGTCGTTCTCATTACGAGCCCTCAGCCTCAGCACTGCATTCCTCTACTGCAGTGTTTCCCAACTGGGAGTTAGCGTACCCCTAGGGGTACATGGGGAGATTTTCAAAAATGTGAAGAAAAAAAAATAAGTTCAAGTTATTTCACTGGTGTGAAACTTGATTTTATATTTATAGGACTACTTTTTTACTTTAGTTTCGCTGCGTGCGCATTGCTTTGTCTCCCTGGCCTCTGCCCGCCCGTTGATCTTGAGTGCCTGCTGCTTGTATCCTTGCAGAAACTATGATTGATCAGACAGCAGCTGATGCACTGAAGACTGTACCGTTGTCAAATAACACGGTGTGCCGTAGGGCGTTGATATTGTTGAAGTGGTGGAAAAGTTGCTCTGCGGTTGAGGAGGGTGCAATTGCGGCCTGCAAGCCAGGTCGCTCCTGCATTGTGGCCGTTCCCACTGAACCCCTCTTTATACTTCCATTGGTCCATTTTTAAGTTAGGACAGGCGGGAGGCGGGGGCACTCCAGTACAGTAGGTGGGGCTAATGCACAATAATGTTGGATGCCAGCCGCCGGTAAACCCCACAGAAGAAGCGGCAGGAATGACAACGGTAGCTAACTAGCCATACACCGGTAGACAGTGTTGATTCAGGAACCAATGGGCTGCTTGAGGAGTGGTGTTAATGCAGGAACCAATGGGAAGCTCAAGGGGGGGCTGTTCATGAAGGAACGTTGGGATGCCGACTGTTTAAAAGGCTCTGTGACGTTAGTGGGACTGAGCACCAGCAGCTAGTGCTTCAAACCGACGTCCATTGGCTATCCAGAGGGAAAACACTACAGAGGCTTTTTGAGCTGAGCGGCGAAGTAAGTGATTTTCTGTCTGAGTACTCGCAACCCCGTGTGGCTGTGTTGGAGGACACAGACTGGGTAGCCCGCCTAGCCTATCTTGCTATGTTCAGCAAACTGAACAAGCTGAATCTAACTCTGCAAGCTAAAGACACACATCTTCTAAACATGTACAGATGTAGGATCTTAATTTGAGCCAGTTTGCTACAGCAAGAAAATAATCCTGCTGCAACAGGAAATGTGAATTATTATGTGGACTATAATAAATTGACATTTTTTGTAGGGGTTGATACATTTTTCGTTTGGGCAAATCAATTCTGACATTTTAACGTGGCAATTGCAAACTTTAGAAGCATTTTTAAACCTTGAAAACACTACAAGTTTGCATTTCCTGATGTGAAGGGAAATTCTCAGCAAGAAAATAATAATAATAATATGCCATTTAGCAGACGCTTTTATCCAAAGCGACTTACAGTCATGTGCGCATACATTTTTACGTATGGGTGGTCCCGGGGATCGAACCCACTACCCTGGCGTTACAAGCGCCATGCTCTACCAATTCAGCTGCAGAGGACCAAAAGAGTGATCAAATTAAGATCATACATCTGTATGACAAAGTGTGTAGATTCATGAAGAAGATCAAACTCTGGGAGAGGAAATGTGAAGATGGGGATATATGATTTTTCAAGCAGCTCGACGCTAACCTTTCTACAGGTGACGTTGACAGAGCTCCTATGGTGCAGATATTATGTTCACATTTATCCAAACACAACTTCCCTGACATTGAAAACAATTCTGCAAAACTTGACTGGATGCGTAAAGCTTTAATGATTGACAGTACCAACAACAACATTCCTACCAGACTATAAGGAAATATTATGTATGTGTCCTCAGACTGTGGCCTGAAGATGAGGCACTCAGAGACAAGACTGTCGCAAAGTTCTGGTGTGATTTTTTTCCCACGCCACTTTCTGGTCGCTCACGGTTACAACAACTTCGTAAAAACCGTTACTACTCCTTTCTGACACTATTGTGTTGTCGAGAGCTCCAACTTCCAGACAGTCAAGTAGTCTAGGGTCAAATACAGTTCACCCAATAGTTGGCTACCGACACAACCATAGAAATTCAAACCAGGACCCAACCTCCTAGGAAACCAGGGGACTCTCCTCTCGTGTCTGGCGTCGCACCAGCAAGTCATTATATGGTGACGTTGATGAGGGACCATCTTAGACAACAGAGCATACAGAAGTCACAAACAGAACATTGTAGATGCAAACTTGTAGATTTTTTTTTATTTATTTAAGTAAAGTAAAAAGTAAATTACATATTTTTAAACATCAGAAAAGAAGGAACTCATTTTAGACCAATAGGTGTCTTTATGCAGAGTTGTTGTGTGTAATAGCAATAGCAATAGCAATAGCACAGTAGGAAAATGTTTGTCTTCGTAGTTTGGTACCTCCATCACCTCTGTTTTAATTAAATCTAATAGCCTACAGCACAGTCCACTTTTCTGTACTGTATAATGCTGCAATCATTATTAAAAAGAAACGTATATCTGTATATACACGATACCGGGGTATTTGGAAAAAGCCTTGGTTTTTCAATACAGTCAATACCTTTGAAACTATTTCTTATACGTTTTTCAATACATTTGAATATTTATATGTATTTAAGTACAGTATAGTCTACTGTAGCCTGGTCCCAGATCAGTTTGTGCTCTTGCCAACTCCTATAGTCCTATGGTCACACCGAAGACAGTAGCAGTTGGCGAGCCAGCAACAGACGGGTGACTAGGCTATGTAAACATTTACATTTGACATTTTGGTCATTTAACAGACGCGACTTACGAGTCAGTGCAAGAAAGACAAGTACAACAGCAAGGCATTAGTTGTTTGTTTGTGTGTGTGTGTGTGTGTGTGTGTTTGTGTGTTTTCTTTAAAAAAAGCGAAGAAAAAGTAGTTGTTCACACAAAAGAGAAGTGCAGCATGTCTTCATCACTAGACGTTCCATTCCTCTTCGCTTTGCACCCAGCGGTTTATGGAGTAGCTGTCGTTAAGTACATCCCAGATGTTGTAAGCTTCTTCCCAGCGATCCCGAAAGTCCCTGAACTTTTGTTTGGGTATCTTACCACGACACCAACTATAGGGAGAAAACACAGCTTTTTATCATTGAATTGATTGATAAATAATGTATAATTTATAGATAATTAATAACAATCTATTGATGGTTTTAAAACCAGTAAACAAGTATACTAAATCAAATCAAATCTTATTGGATCACATACACATATGTTATTGCGGGTGTAGCGAAATTCTTGTAAACAATCCTGCCCCAATGCACATGTACTGTGTGTAGACTGTGAGAATGTAGGCTATTTATGAAGAGGTTGTTTCTGACCTGTAGAGCTCGTTGATGGAGAAAGCGTTTTGAGGATAGCCTTCAGGCAGCTCCATTATAGTAATGTGATAGTCACCCTGTTGCATCCCCTGAGATGAAATGATACTTTATTATGACATGAATCTCTTTAATCTGTCCGTCTGTCTGTCAGAGGACCAATTGGGATATTAATTACATTGTAAAAAGTAGAATAACGTGTCAGATTTATCGACAACATGTCTAACCAAGAGGAAACTATCTGACTCTGCCTCCAGCACCACCTAGTAGGAAGTAATGTGGAAACAAGCTTCAACCAGTCTTGTGGTTAGTCAGATGCCGTTTAGCTTCTGAAATACAAAGGATGTGACACTGACTAGAAAATAAGTGGAGAGTTTCAAAAATAACATTAATTGTCTCTGTAATGCCTGGTAGCTGGGACTAACTAAACTAGAAATCATACACATATCAAAACACACACACACACACACACACAGGTCCTCACCATGTGGACATAGGGCCACATCTCCCAAAGAGAAATGTTTGTGTTGTAAACGATGATCGGATCCACACCTCTGTTCAAGGCTTTAAAAACTGTCAAAACAAGACAGAGAAACAGAACTTTGAAGAAGAACAAACTACCTGTGTAATGACATTAAAAGCAGATCGTTTCTGCCCCCGCCCCCGCCCCCGCCCCCAGCCACCCAATAGGCTTACACCACCCAATACACACCATCCTCTCTATTCCGCCGATGGTTGTGATGAAAGTATCTAGAGTCGTAGTTGGACATTTCATGGTACTTGTCAGCTGAGAAAATTCCTCCTTCTATTCCATGTCTTGCATATTCAACACAGAGATTTCTGGAAAACAGAAGGAAATTATATATTTATATTTTACAAATAAAGTGTTTATGTCTAATCAAAATTACAACCAACTGATTGCAGCAACACCGCAAAAATGGAGGAGGCAAGTGGAAAGGGGAGAAGGTAAGGAACTTGTCTCTTGACCCTGCATTAAAGACCAAATCCTCTGAAAATTGTGATAAATAAAAAAGTACACCAGTTCCATTTAAGGACCAAAACATTGACAGCTGCACCATACAGGTTGCAAAATAGTTGATAGGATATTGTCGATGTGCCGATTCCATGGCACATGGTTTATGAACTGATACACAAAACACGATGCCGGTTTAAGCTCCCAGCGGTCTAAGGCTGCGGTGCTAGAGGCGTCACTACAGACCCGGGTTCGATCCCGGCCTGTATCACAACCGGCTGTGATCGGGAGTCCCACAGGGCGGCGCACAACTGGCCCAGCGTCGTCCGGGTTAGGGTAGGGTTTGGCTGGGGGGGGGGGCTTTACAAGTAGGCCGTCATTGTAAATAAGAATTTGTTCTTAACTGAGTTGCTTAATTAAATAAAGGTTACATAAATAAAAATGTACTGATACACAAAACGGCGCTGGATTCAAAACGTAGAGTTTTTCCATTTAAATTATTATACAAAATTCTTGCAACCAACAGAATGTTATTTATATGGGGGATACAACTATCCCAGCTCTGCAGATTTTGCTGTGAAGAGACGGAATCATTAGATCACTTATATTGGTACTGCCCATACGTAGCTTGCTTTTGATCGCAGGTTCAGGAATGGCTGAAAAATTCAACATTTACTTAGAGCTAACTCTTCAAATAGAACTGCTGGGTAATTTGATAGTCAATCGATCAATAATATAATAATACTATTAGCAAAGGTGTTTATCTTTAATTTACAATCTGTAGAAACTATGAGAATAGAAAGGTTCAGAACATTTAAGAAACATCACAGCACAGTGGAAAAATATATGGCTGATAGAAATGAAAACTGTATGGTCTTCAGAGATAGATGGGAGGGGTTGAGGGTATCTGAAGGCTGGGACTGGGGCTGTTGTGGTGACCGTTTTACGAGTCATGAAGGCAGTGAAATTCCACATGACCGTTTAGTCACAGTAATTAGGCTTCTCCAAGCTCTCATGCTGCTGCAGTCTTGAAGGAGTTCCCACATATGCTGAGCACTTGTTGGCTGCTTTTCCTTCACTCTGCGGTCCAACTCACCCCAAACCATCTCAAATGGGTTGAGGTCAAAGGACAGATTTCCACTGGTCTAATGTCCATTGCTTATGTTTCTTAGCCCAGGCAAGTCTCTTCTTCTTATTGGTGTCCTTTAGTAGTGGTTTCTTGGCAGCAATTCGACCATGAAGGCCTGATTCACGCAGTCTCCTCTGAACAGTTGATGTTGAGATGTGTCTGTTACTTGAACTCTGTGAAGCATTTATTTGGGCTGCAATCTGAGGTGCAGTTAACTCTAATGAACTTATCTTCATCAGCAGAGGTAACTCTGGGTCTTCCTTTCCTGTGGCAGTCCTCATGAGAGCCAGTTTCATCATAGTGCTTGATGGTTTCTGCGACTGCACTTGAAGAAACTTGAAAAACGTTCTTGACATTTTACGGATTGGCTGACCATCATGTCTTAAAGAAATGGACTGTCGTTTTTATTTGCTTACAGTGGGGAGAACAAGTATTTGATACACTGCCGATTTTGCAGGTTTTCCTACTTACAAAGCATGTAGAGGTCTGTAATTTTTATCATAGGTACACTTCAACTGTGAGAGACAGAATCTAAAACAAAAATCCAGAAAATCACATTGTATGATTTTTAAGTAATTAATTTGCATTTTATTGCATGACATAAGTATTTGATCACCTACCAACCAGTAAGAATTCCGGCTCTCACAGACCTGTTAGTTTTACATTAAGAAGCCCTCCTGTTCTCCACTCATTACTTGTATTAACTGCACCTGTTTGAACTCATTACCTGTATAAAAGACACCTGTCCACACACTAAATCAAACAGACTCCAACCTCTCCACAATGGCCAAGACCAGAGAGCTGTGTAAGGACACAAGGGATAAAATTGTAGACCTGCACAAGGCTGGGATGGGCTACAGTACAATAGGCAAGCAGCTTGGTGAGAAGGCAACAACTGTTGGCGCAATTATTAGAAAATGGAAGAAGTTCAAGATGACGGTCAATCAACCTCGGTCTGGGGCTCCATGCAAGATCTCACCTCGTGGGGCATCAATGATCATGAGGAAGGTGAGGGATCAGCCCAGAACTACACGGCAGGACCTGGTCAATGACCTGAAGAGAGCTGGGACCACAGTCTCAAAGAAAACCATTAGTAACACACTACGCCGTCATGGATTAAAATCCTGCAGCGCACGCAAGGTCCCCCTGCTCAAGCCAGCGCATGTCCAGGCCCGTCTGAAGTTTGCCAATGACCATCTGGATGATCCAGAGGAGGAATGGGAGAAGGTCATGTGGTCTGATGAGACAAAAATAGAGCTTTTTGGTCTAAACTCCACTCGCCGTGTTTGGAGGAAGAAGAAGGATGAGTACAACCCCAAGAACACCATCCCAACCGTGAAGTATGGAGGTGGAAACATCATTCTTTGGGGATGCTTTTCTGCAAAGGGGACAGGACGACTGCACCGTATTGAGGGGAGGATGGATGGGGCCATGTATCGCGAGATCTTGGCCAACAACCTCCTTCCCTCAGTAAGAGCATTGAAGATGGGTCGTGGCTGGGTCTTCCAGCATGACAACGACCCGAAACACACAGCCAGGGCAACTAAGGAGTGGCTCCGTAAGAAGCATCTCAAGGTCCTGGAGTGGCCTAGCCAGTCTCCAAACCTGAACCCAATAGAAAATATTTGGCGGGAGCTGAAAGTCCGTATTGCCCAGCGACAGCCCCGAAACCTGAAGGATCTGGAGAAGGTCTGTATGGAGGAGTGTGCCAAAATCCCTGCTGCAGTGTGTGCAAACCTGGTCAAGACCTACAGGAAATGTATGATCTCTGTAATTGCAAACAAAGGTTTCTGTACCAAATATTAAGTTCTGCTTTTCTGATGTATCAAATACTTATGTCATGCAATAAAATGCAAATTAATTACTTAAAAATCATACAATGTGATTTTCTGGATTTTTGTTTTAGATTCCGTCTCTCACAGTTGAAGTGTACCCATGATAAAAATTACAGACCTCTACATGCTTTGTAAGTAGGAAAACCTGCAAAATCGGCAGTGTATCAAATACTTGTTCTCCCCACTGTACTTGAGTTGTCCTTACCATAATAGGGCAATCTTCTGTATACCATCCCTACCTTTTCACAACACAACCGATTTGGTCAAAGGCATTAAGGCAATAAATTCTACAAATTAACTTTTAAGAAGGCACACCTGTTAATTGAAATGGATTCCAGGTGACTACCTCATACAGCTGGTTGAGAGAATGCCAAGAGTGTGCAAAGCTGTCATCAAGGTAAAGGGTGTCTACTTTGAAGAACCTAAAATATATTTAGATTTGTTTATACACGATTCCATATGTGTTGTTTCACAGTTTTGATGTCTTCAGTATTATTCTACAATTTAGAAAATAGTAAAAATAAAGAAAAACCCTGGAATGAGTAGATGTGTCCAAACTTTTGACTGGTCCTGTATATTTACAACAAAATATGTGGGATTATGCACTCAATTACATTGATAGCAGCCACAATCCTTCTGCAATATTAAAGCTGATCTACACCATAAAAAATAAAATAAAAAAGTGTTGGGTTTCATTTCCGCTGTCCCTCAGGAAATGAAACCACGATCTCAACACAACACATATTTTGACAAAAAACCTGGGATAAGGCAGGCTCCCAAAAGGTTGGTTTGACTAGCTTACTCTGCCGTCGCTTTCTTTCCAACTCCTGGCAAACCTCGAAGGATGAACAGGTTCTTCCTGCTTCGTCTTCGTCTTCTCCCGCTCGCCATTTCTCTTCTACTTCTGACTGCAACACCACCAACTACAGTACACAGCACATCGGCAGCTGTACTCTTATGATTAGAAGAGACGCCCTCCCACCCAATAACTGAAACCAAACCGTCTTCTTCTTCTGCTTCTTCTTCTTCTTCAGTGGGGTTTATCGGTTGGCATCCAACTTTATGGTGCATTACCGCCACCTACCGTACTGGAGTGTGGGCCAGAGATCGGGATAAACTAAATCCTACCTGCCAACACCGTTTCTCTTAAAAAAGACAACAAAATATTTGATACTATATCTAATGACGTTCTACTCAACATACTCTTTAAGCTAATTTCCTGTATCCCCTTCTCCCTCATACTTAATATAATCCTCTCTCTTTCCCTCTGATACTGCCCACACTGTAGCAATACATCTACATTTTAGTCATTTAGCAGACGCTCTCATCCAGAGCGACTTACAATACGTGCTCCACAGTCTCTATTTCCTGACAATAATCACACTTCCCTGATGGATGCGTTCCTATCACATGTAATGTCTTATTCAACTGGCTGTGTCCCACCCTTAATCTTGTAAATATAGCCTCCTCTCTTCTGTCCCTTCCTGCCGTCCTCCCCTCCCCGACTTTCCTCTGTACTTGAAATAAATGCCTTCCCTTATTATCTCTATTCCACTGCTCCTGCCATCTCTGCACCATCACTGTATATATCAGTATTTTTGTCTCTGCCTTGCTCATTGAAACTTCAGCATCAACATCCCCACTACTAAGTGCTTGTTTAGCCTGTTCATCTTCTGCCTCGTTCCCCTCCACCCCAACATGGGCTGGGACCCAAGTAAATCTTATCTGTATACCCATCTGTCTAATCCTGCCATGGGTTTGTAGCACCTCATAAAGCAGGTCTTGTCTGCTACGTGAGCTAAAGGACTGGAGACTCATTAACACTGCGCATGAATCAGAGCAAATAACTACTCTGTCTTGTTTGACTTCCTCCACCCACTGAAAGGCCAACAGTATGGCCATCAGCTCCGCCGTATATACAGCCAGATGATCTGTAATATGTTTCCTGACTTCCACCCCACATTCCTGCACTACAAATGCTGACCCAGTACATCCTGTCCTTGGATCTTTTGAACCATCTGTGTAAATGGCCACAAAATCCCGATACACAGTTTTCAGACGTCTCTTAAAAAAACCAGCTGGATCAACACCCTCCCTATCTTTCTGTAGTCTCTCCAACACTTCTAGATCAACTACTGGAGGCGGGAGTAGCCATGGTGGATTTACAGGAATAACTACCGTTGGACTAAACTCCCTTCCATACAGTCCCATCTCCTTCGCCTGGGTATTATCCACCCACCCAAAGCTCGTGTTCTGTCTTCTCTCATGTTCCCAGCATGCCTGTAAAATCCCTATCGCAGGATGAGACACCCCATGTCCTTGTAGGTTAACCCAATAATTAATTGCCAGCTGCTGTCTCCAACCAAACCGTCATAGCCGTTCTGGTATTATATCAGTCTAATGTCGATGCTGATTACATGCAAGTAAATACTGTATAGCCCTTCTGTATTTCATGAGATTAGGTGCCATGAAATAGCTATTTGTCACTTTTAGCAAATTATTTCAGGCCAGTGCAGATTAAGGAAAGGAAACAGAAGGAGGGGAAACTTCTTTAGATTAATGAAATGCTGCCAAAGTCTAGCACAGCGTTCACTAGTTGGGCATTCCGAGTATTTTCGGTGAGCTGCCTCATTTGGCTCTGTTCCCGTAAAAGAGCCAGCCCATTTGGCTCACAAACGGCTCTTAATTCAAAAGGCTTAAAAATCGACCTAGAACCATGAAAAAAGTTCAAATCTCCCATGTTAAGCCCAAAAAGTAGGCTACCATTATCTCATAGTGAAATGCGCGTTCAAATACATTTTTACACGGCCAAATTAGATGGCCTGCAAAAAAAATACTTATTTTTTTTACCCCCTGAAAAAAATCCGCATGCACCAGATTGATGCGCTCTCCCCATTAGTTATTGGTTCTGCAGTGAGGATTCATCCTCTTTAGATAATTATTTATTTTAAGTATCTGCAGAAAAACTTTGTTTTGAGCTCAAAAAGCAGTAGTAATTGGCCCAGCCTCGTCCGGGTTTGGCCGGGGTAGGCCGTCATTGTAAATAAGAATTTGATCTTAACTGACTTGCCTAGTTAAATAAAGGTTAAATAAAAAAATAATACAAATAAAATAGTAGCAGTATGTAAATCAGGGAGACAAATAAACGGCTCGTTCACCGATGCGATTCGGCTCCCGACGTTCACCAAAAAGAGCCGTTCGTTCCAAACATGTGTGATCATTAACTGTCCCAAATAATGAAGGAAGGGAAAATAACGGAATGTAAGAATGGATGGAATACAGAAAGGAAATAAGAGAGTGCGGAAGGAAGGAAAGAAGGGACGAGGGAAGGAAGCAAGGACTAAAGGGAGGATACACTGGAAATATTCAAACAGGGCCTGAGCGTCCCCTCACTAAGCGCGGTTCCCAGTGCACACACCTGTCCTCACTTGACCGGCTAATCATCCAACATGTCTGGCCCAATTAGCGCTGTGGGTGACGTCTTGACTGGAGGACGGACGTGCACATATAAACCACAGCAGACGCCCTTTGTCTTCTATACACGATGGAGGGGTTTATGTTTTCTCCGTTCAACTTTAATGGCTATCCAGGCTGCGGTCCCATGATGGCGCCTATCCTCCATGGCAACCCGAAGTTCAAGCCTCACACCTGGGGTAAGGGGAGCATCTACGTGCCTCCGGAAGCGCTGGACTACCTTGACGTGTGTAAGCGGGCCCAGCTGAAGGCCATCCTGTCTCAGGTGAACCCCAACCTTACCCCTCGTCTCCGGAAGGCCAACACCAAGGAGTTCGGGGTTCAGGTCAACGCCCAGGTCGACGCGATGGTCCAGTGTTCCCTAGGACCCAAGACGCTGTTTTACCGGGAGAGGAAATTTTCGAAGTCGCCTGTGAAGTGCCAACAGAGTCCCTCAGCGGTGTCTTCTCTGGACGGGAAAGCGTTGCCGAGCACTCCGGTAAACAACGTGCGCTTCTCGCGACCCCTCGCTATCTACTCTCCGGTGTTTGATCGCCGGTTCTTCGCGCTGCCGGTGACAACACAGGATGACAGCGCGTGCTGTGAGGGAGGAGAGGGGGACGGTAACGGGGGTAGTGACGAGGATGGCGAGGCCGACGCTACCGAGCAGAACACCACGGAGGACAAGGGTAAACCGGAAAACCCGCGTGCGGATGTCAGGAAACCCCTCCACCAGATGCCCAAAGGGTTCAACTTTCAGGTCAGTCATTCCCGGGTTTTATACAAGGGGAGAATAAGAATTTTAGAATCGATTCTGTAGAGTTCTTGAACATGAATTGAGGAATACCTTATTTCGTACTGTGTAGTTCTATCTACAATGTGTCCAATTTGTCACCAATATGCCCTTTTATGCACAAGCCTACTTGAAGTGCCAGTCATCCTGCATAGGATGTTGCATGTTTTGGAGATTTCGATTTAATTGATTAACTTTCCCCCGCTGTAGTTTCTGGAGCAGAAGTATGGCTTCTTTCACTGCAGCCAGTGTAACGTCCGGTGGGAGAGTGCCTATGTGTGGTGCATCTCTGGAAGTAGTAAGGTAACGCTGACAACCACTGCATCTCTGCCAAATGAGAAATATTAGTTTTAAGATTATGGTCAGTAGGCCTTCATGAGCGCTGCTTCCATCCTTTCGTTCTTTACCCATCTGACAAGCCTGAGTTGACAGTAACACTGTCCACTGCCTATTTCTGGCTGTCATTTCTTCAAATACTTTCTAAGTTTGATGAATGACATGTTTTTATCCTCCCCTTCACGTGGTTGTCACCCCTCTGATCTCAGGTGTACTTCAAGCAGCTCTGCCGTAAGTGCCAGGTGGGGTTCAACCCCTACAGAGTGGAGTCTATCCAGTGCAAGGTGATGTCATGCGCTAAAACAATTAAACTTTCAAGATGTCATGTCTTTTTTTACTTTCATTGTCTTGTTTTATGGATACAGGACCTACAGGTGAACTGACATGTCTACCCCTCCCCCCTCTTCACCAGCAGAGGTCAATATTGCTCTAATGATATCCTCCCTGGTCTCCTGTGCCCCTCAGGTGTGTTCCCAGACCCGGTGCTGCTGTGAGCAGAAGGAGAGGCACATTGACATGAAGAGGCCTCATAGACAGGACCTGTGTGGCCGTTGCCGGGGAAAGAGGATTTCCTGTGACACTACCTACAGCTACAAATACATTGTCTGAACTGAACCATCCCTGCTACAGGCCTAAGCACAGATCTAGGATCAGATTTAGCCCATTGCTAACTGTCCTTAACTTTTTGGTGGATGTATCTGAACTTGGATCAGTGGTTAGAGGAAGATGGCTGTAAACCAGTTTTCTAATCCTGGACCTAAAGGGGTGCACCTATTTGCCTTTGCTCTAACACCTGACTGCACCCCTTTGGGTCCCCAGGATTGTGAAACGTTGCTGTAATCAGATCCTAGATCTGTGCTTTGGGGAACTACCAGTTCTAAACTTACCCTTTTTGGAGTGATGCACAACCTGACCTTAGCCCAGTATCTAGGGCCCACAGTATCCTACGCTGAGCGTTCCCACATGGCAGGATAAACAACACTAGGCCACGGAAGTAAATGTTTACCCTAACTACAGACCTAGGGTCAGGTCAACCTTCCTCCAATCCTATCCACGGTTGTTAGGGAGGTGACACCTATCTGGCAAGGGGGGTGGTAATCAACTTGTTTCTAACCTGCCAAGGTCATGTCTTAAATGTCCTGCCACAACTTTTATACCCTTTCCACCATGATCAACTGAGTGAATCAATTTTTGTAAAAATGAAATAAACTTATTGCAGCATTAACCTTTTTTTTCATGGATTTGCTCATTTTGCTGTGTGCATGAACTAGATCCTCAATGCACTCTGCTATAAGTCATGTGTGTATATATATATATATATATATAGAGCTGATATCCTAATTTACTGGTGCAACCTGGCTGTTTGGACTTCCTCTTTAAAAGGGCAATAAGGACAGACAACCGTAAACTGTACGAATATTTATTCCTGTCAACGGCAGTGCACCAAAAGCGCACAACGTGAAATTATTTTGGGGTCTTTATTTTGAGACTTGTACTTGGCATCAACTCAACGACGTCACAAAGCTGTAAAACTATTTACAAAGTGAACTCTTTTTTTTTTCCCACCACAATGCTTAAGTGCAGTTTCTTTTGGATGCACACTTCTCGCACACAAACCTTTTGTACCTCATACAAATGTCTTTCAGCTAAAATATTAATCTTATGAATACATTTCTAAAATTACATACAATATACATGCATGGCAGTTAAAATTGGTTTGAATTGAAGGAACATGAGAAATCGATAAAGCTGGTAAGGAGTAGGTTAGCTCTTAATCGGGTATAAATAAGCCTAAAGACTGACAACTCAAAAGTAAAATCACAAGTGACTAACCACCACAGGAAGTACCCATGGCCCTGTTAGTTATTCAAAAAAAAAAAAAAATGCATCCTTCCTTGGCCGCTTCACTAAATATATCAAACCTCTGTATTTGAACCTTTTGCTTAGACCTACCCACCCTTAATGATTCCTTGAAAGGATGGAAGTTAAGGACTTAAAAGTATTGGAGCAGGGCCCAGCAGTTATTTGAACAGTAGCTCAACATGTTTAGTTTTGAACATGAAACAAGTGAATGTCAGCACACACGTCCACGTTACAGTGGACTATGGGAGTATTTCAGTGTTTAATGTGTACCCCCCCCCCCCCCCCATGTCACAGCAGGTACACATCACAATATAGGACGGTCACGGTAACAAATGTGTGTGTATATACGTAGGCCCACAATTTGTTCGATATGCTACAACAATGTATGGGTGTACTACGGGTGGCTCAGTAGTCTGAGGAGCTGGTTCACTAGTACACACGAAGCTTTCAGGTTCAAAACCAGGCAAAGGGATTAAACACACGAATACTGGTCTGCATCCTGTCTGCACACAATGCAGCTCCGTGTGGAGGGGGGAGGGCCGCGATGCAGACGGATCCTAACAGTCTTTATCGTGAATGCTCCCTTCTGTCAGTTGTAGAACTAAACATCGTCCAGGTAACCAATGCTAACTAGAGGCCAGGGATTCTGGAACAGACCAGTAGATTCTAGAATACAGCATTCAGCTAGGTCATGCATTGCACGTTCTCCCCTAAATAAACTCTTTAAACAGTAGATACACACGTGGTGAGAGATATAACCTTCCAGTCCTTGGCCTCTTATCTCCATCTCTCACAGATATACAGCATGATTGAATTTATCTCTCAGTAGTAGTAACGGCTCCTCCTCTCAGAAGCCCATGTTAGTGCAATAGAAGCCGTGACTCTGGGACATTCATCCAGTCAGGTAGAGGTTCCCCAAGTTACCTGATGGTAACAGGTAGATACTTCCTTCGTCAGGGTCATGTCGTACCCATCTTGTCTTCCCCAGGTAGGACTAGCTAATGCTGAGACCAGGTATTCTAATCTTCAGCTCACGGTTTGATCATCCCCAGGTCTCTCCCGGTTGAGGTCTTGGTCAGCTGTCATCAAGATCAGGTTTGTTAATTCTAATTCAAACAGTTTCTTCAGCAGATTTTTTTGTTATTGCTGCCTGGGATCAGGTTCCGGTGTGGGTACTCCACAGGTGTGTCAATTCTGAGGTATGGCTGGGAGAAGGTCACATGATTATAACGTGTAACTACGATCAGGTAAGTCAATCCTAAGGTTTCACTGAGATCAGGTATTTTCATTGACAGGTTGAGTCTGATATCAGGTCAGGTAAATCCTCAGGTTCATCAGGTGTTTCAGGTATTGTCCTTTGGTCCCTCGGGTACTTAGGTCTTTTAATCCACAGGTGGGGTCAGCATCGTCAGGTGTGTTGAGATCTTCAGGTGGGGTCGGCATCATCAGGTGTGGTCAGCATCATCAGGTGTGGTTGAGATCTTCAGGTGTGGTCAGCATCATCAGGTGTGGTTGAGATCATCAGGTGGGGTCAGCATCATCAGGTGTGGTTGAGATCATCAGGTGTGGTCAGCATCATCAGGTGGGGTCAGCATCATCAGGTGTGGTTGAGATCTTCAGGTGTGGTCAGCATCATCAGGTGTGGTTGAGATCTTCAGGTGGGGTCAGCATCATCAGGTGTGGTTGAGATCTTCAGGTGTGGTCAGCATCATCAGGTGTGGTTGAGATCTTCAGGTGTGGTTGAGATCTTCAGGTGTGGTCAGCATCATCAGGTGAGTCAATCAGGTATCAGGTATATTGACCCTCAGGTGTGAACATCGGAGGGTTTTTTAGGGTTCAGGAGCCCCCCCAGTCTGAGTAGGGGCCGGGCGGCGTGACCCACCTTCCCCAGGTAACGGGACAGGGGTGTAGCATCCCCTCCGAGGGTGCAGCAGCACCCCCACCCCACCTCTGCACCTTGGGCTGGGAGAAGAGGAGGAGGAGGAGGAGGAAGAGGAGGAGGAAGAGGAGGAGGAGGAGGGAGAGGGAGAAGGAGAGGGGCCAGACCTTGTGTATCTAAGACTGGTTCTGGATGTGTGTATGGGGAGTAGAGGCAATGTGGTCCACGAGGTGGGATAGGAGGAAATGTGTGTTTGTCAGAGTGTGTGCTAAGACGGGTTAGTATGGGGGTTGGAGGTGTGTCTAGGACAGGGGGAGGGGTTGGATGGAGGTGTGAGCCACAAGGTGGGATAGGAGGAAATGTGCCTGTGAGTGTGTGTGTGTGTAAGTCTGGGCAAGAGGCTACGGTCGGCAATGTGTTACCTGGTTTGAGTGGAGTGTGTGTGTTAGGGCTGAGGTTTGGGATGCGGTGTAACGAGTGTGTGTGAGAGGCCTGACGTGTGTTTGTGCACTCATGGTGGGGTGTGGGGAGGTCTGGGGGAGGGTAGGAGAAGTCTACGCGTAAGGGCAGAAACCAGTCTATGGTTGAGCTGGAGGGAGAGGCCAGAAGAGAGGCTGGGTTTGGGGCAGTAGAGATGGGGGGGGTGGCAGAGTTATGGTCGGGGGTAACAGCACCACCTGCGATGGGATTAGGGACAGTAGGGGTGACAGGGATGATGAGGTTCGTGGGGTCAGAGTGCGTGGAGGAGGAGGGGTACATGGGGGGCTCCTGTGCTGCTGTCAGAGGCTGGTCCCTGAGGCCGAGGAGTCGGGGAGGTAGGTGTTGACCACCCGGTAGCCCTGGGCGCGGCGGATCATGTCCCGGATCTCCCCGTTGAGCTCCAGCAGCTTGGAACAGATGAGGCTGAGGTCCTGGCGTGACCCGACCAGGGCGATGGTTCCCGTCTGGCCCAGGGTCTGGTGTCGGAAGTAGACGTTGAGGAGGGTCTGCACCTCGCTCTCTGACCCACCGCCAAACACACCGTTAGGCCACAGCCTCCTGGAAGGGGGGTAGAGGAAGAGAGAGAGAGGGAGAGACAGACAGGAAGAGAGAGACAGACAGACAGGAAGAGAGAGACAGACAGGAAGAGAGAGAGAGGGAGAGACAGACAGGAAGAGAGAGAGAGACAGGAAGAGAGAGAGAGGGAGAGACAGACAGGAAGAGAGAGACAGACAGGAAGAGAGAGAGAGAGGGAGAGACAGACAGGAAGAGAGAGACAGACAGGAAGAGAGAGAGAGGGAGAGACAGACAGGAAGAGAGAGACAGACAGGAAGAGAGAGAGAGGGAGAGACAGACAGGAAGAGAGAGACAGACAGGAAGAGAGAGACAGACAGGAAGAGAGAGACAGACAGGAAGAGAGAGACAGACAGGAAGAGAGAGAGATGGATCAGGATGTATTAGTATTGTGAATGTTTTGTGATTGTTCTCGCTCTGTTTGGTGGGATTATTTCTATCACTGACGAGTACAGGGTTTTTATTCTTAGCACCACAACAAAATAGTGTGTGTCTGCGTGTGTGTCTGTGTCTATGCATGCTTTTTGGATCTCACCTGCACTCGTGGATGTAGCGTATGGCCTTGCTGAACTCCTGGTTGTTGAGGCACTCCAGGATGGCCTGTACGGCTGCCTCGGAGGAGGTGAAGCTGGGCAGGGCGGCAGAGGCCTGCGTCTGGGTGTGGGCCAGCTGTGTGTGCTCCAGGTCGCTGGCCACTGCTGCCTCTGCTGCTCTCAGACTGGTCTTCAGGTCACTCAGCTCTCGAGACATGTTTAGGAGCTACAGAGGGGGGGGAGAGGAGGAGAGAAGGGAGATGGAGAGGGGGGAGGGAGGAGGAGGGAGAGAGGGTGAGAGACGAGAGAGAAGAGAGAGAGAGGGGGGAGAGGGAGAGTCTTGGAGAGCGGAGTAGAAGAGAGCGAGCGAGCTGATGCCATGGAGACAGGGCTGAGGGATGAGAGAGAGTAGGAGATGTGGAGAGAGACGGAGAGAGATCCGAGACCGGAGAGACGAAGGGGAGGGAAGAGAGTGAAGGTAGTGGGGGAGAGCGATGATACGTGCTTGATTTTGTTTTTTTTTCTGGCTAGGAGACTTGAGCTGCCACTTGAGAGCAGCAGCGCTAGGGTGCTAAAGATGCGTGTCACTGTAGCGGTCGGGGAGGTTGCAGGATTTGCATTGAGAGAGATGAGCGAGTCCTCGCATTGAAATTAGTCGCAGGTGAGACGTCGAGCGAGGCATTGTGAGAATGGGATGAGATGTCGGGAGAGCTAGAGAGGAGACGAGAGAGGGCGCTCTCGATCAATAGGTGACTGAGAGAGGTGAGGAGTGTCTAGGACGCATGATCTGACGAGAATGCACGAGGACCTTGAGATGAGAGAAGGTGAGAGAGTTAGAGCGTATGGAGGAGAGAGAGACTGAGAAGTGAGAGCAGCAGAGACAGAGCTGAGGAGGGGATGGGGACGGGGGAGGCGGGAGAAGGGAGGAAGAGAGGGAGAGGAGAGGGCGGGAGGGAGGACGAGAGAGACGGGGGGAGGGAAGAGAGAGAGAGAGAGAGAGAGAGAGAGGGGGATGAGAGAGACCGAGAGAGAGAGAGGGGAGGAGGAGACGGGAAGGGGAGGGAGAGGGGCGAGAGGAGAGGGGAGGACGGAGAGGGAGAGGGAAGAGAGAGAGAGAGGGGGGGGAGGGAGAGAGAGAGAGAGGGGAGGAGAGGGAGAGGGAGAGGGAGAGGGAGAGGGAGAGGGAGAGAGAAAGAGGGGGGAGGGAGACGAGAGGGGGGAGGGGGGAGGGAGAGAGAGCGAGAGATGGGGAGGGAGGGAGAGGGGGAGGGAGGGGAGAGAGGGAGAGGGAGGAGGGGGGAAGAGAGCGAGAGAGAGGGGGAGGGCGAGGAGGAGGGAGGTGGAGATCAGTGTGTGATCATATACATTACTTTTGTGAGAAAAAAATCTACGGATACACGTAAAGAGAGGAAGAAATGCAAAAAAGCAAAATTAATCTCTTGATTCACTTTCAACAGGTATACAACATCTAAAAAAGCTGTTCATTCCTGTGGCGGTCCTCATGAGAGACCAGTTTCATCATAGCTCTTGATGGTTTTTGTGACTGCACTTGAAGAAACGTTCAAAGTTCTTGAAATGTTCTGTGTTGACTGATCTTCATGTCTTAAAGTAATGATGGACTGTTGTTTCTCTTTGCTTATTTGAGCTGTTCTTGCCATAATATGGACTTTACCAAATAGGGCTGTCTTCTGTATACCTACCTTGTCACAACACAACTGATTGGATCAAATGCATTAATAAGGAAAGAAATTCCACAAATTAACTTTTAAGAAGGCACACCTGTTAATTGAAATGCATTCCAGGTGACTACCTCATGAAGCTGGTTGAGAGAATGCCAAGAGTGTGCAAAGCTGTCATCAAGGCAAAGGGTGGCTACTTTGAAGAATCTCAAATATAAAATATATTTTGATTTGTTTAACACTTTTTTGGTTACTACATGATTCCATATGTGTTATTTCATAGTTTTGATGTCTTCACTATTATTCTACAATGTAGAAAATAGTAAAAAATCAAGAAAAACCTTTGAATGAGTAGGTGTTGTAAAACCTTTGACCAGCAGTGTATGTGTGTGTGTGTGAGTCTGTCTGTTTATAGAAATGTCTCTGGGTCGCTTTTGAAGCATCCAATCACAGTCCTTCACTTACCTCAGGCACAGCGCTGACAGCGTGGACCTGTCCAATCAGCTTGCAGTAGGACTGGAAGAGGAGGAGCAGCTGGAAGTGCAGCTTGTAGAGGCGCTGACACAGCTCCAGTTGCTGAGAGGAGAGAGAGAGGACAGATTCATAGACAGTACAGTACAGTATACACAAACACACACACACACACACACACCGCACACACCACACCACACACACACACATAAAATCCTCAACCTGAGCCATCTAAATCAGTTCATACACAGTATTGTTGTGTTGGTTATTTTGGCAGCAGTAGAATCATCAGTTTGAGAAGGAACACTAGAGGGTGAAGTGAGAAAACACATTAGATGATAGTAGATCATAGTAGGACTTAGTAAAGGACTTAGTAAAGGACTTAGTAAAGGACTTACTGCCAGAGATTCCATTTGCTACACAGCCAGAGAGCATGTTACGAGGTGAAAGAGAGAGAGGGAGAAGCAAGAGGAGAGGAACACACATCAATAAAACACATGCAGTATAGTATAGTATAGTGTATATATATATAGTATAGTATAGTGTATAGTGTGGTGTATATAGTATAGTATATAATATATAGTATAGTGTATATATATATAGTATAGTATAGTGTATAGTGTAGTGTATATAGTATAGTGTAGTGTAGTGTGTATAGTATATAATATATAATATATAGTATAGTATATAGTATAGTGTATATATATAGTATAGTATAGTGTATATTGTAGTGTATATAGTATAGTATATAATATATAGTATATAGTATAGTATATAGTATAGTATATAGTATAGTATATAGTATAGTGTATAGTGTATATAGTATAGTATAGTATAGTATATATTATAGCATATAGTATAGTATATAGTATAGTATATAGTATAGTATATAGTATAGTGTAAAGTATAGTGTATAGTATAGTGTATAGTATTGTATAGTATAGTATATAGTATAGTATATAGTATATAGTATAGTATATAGTATAGTGCATAGTGTATAGTATAGTAAGGTGTATAGTATAGTGTATAGTATGTGGTATAGTGTATAGTATAGTGTATTGTGCATAGTGTATAGTATAGTGTATAGTATTGTGTATAGTATTGTGTAGAGTATAGTATATAGTATAGTATCATTTATAGTATAGTATATAGTATAGTGTATAGTATATTGTATAGTTTATTATATAGTATAGTGTATAGTATAGTGTATAGTATGGTGTATAATATATAGTATATAGTATTGTAAAGTGTATAGTGTAGTATATAGTATAGTGTATAGTATAGTAGAGTGTATAGTATAGTGTATAATAGTATAGTGTATAGTATAGTAGTTTATAGAATATTGTATAGTATAGTGTATAGTCTAGTGTATAGTATATTGTACTATATATAGTGTATAGTATAGTGTATAGTATAGTGTAGTGTATAATATATAGTATATAGTATATAGTATAGTGTAGTATATAGTATAGTGTATAGTGTATAGTGTTAGTATATAGTATAGTGTATAGGTATAGTGTATAGTGTATAGTATATAGTATAGTAGTGTATAGTATAGTGTATAGTATAGTGTATAGTATAGTGTATAGTATAGTGTATAGTATAGTGTATAGTATAGTAGTGTATAGTATAGTAGTGTATAGTATAGTAGTTTATAGAATATTGTAAAGTGTATAGTATAGTGTATAGTATAGTGTATAGTATAGTATAGTGTATAGTATAGTGTATAGTATAGTATAGTGTATAGTGTATAGTGTATAGTATAGTGTATAGTATAGTGTATAGTGTATAGTATAGTGTATAGTATAGTGTATAATATATAGTATATAGTATAGTAAAGTGTATAGTGTAGTATATAGTATAGTGTATAGTATAGTAGAGTGTATAGTATAGTGTTATAATAGTATAGTGTATAGTAGTTTATAGAATATTGTATACTATAGTGTATAGTATAGCAGTGTATAGTATGGTGTATAGTGTATAGTATAGTAATTTATAGAATATTGTATAGTATAGTATAATGTATAGTATAGTGTAGTGTATAATATATAGTATATAGTATAGTGTATAGTATAGTATAGTATATTTACATTTTAGTCATTTAGCAGACGCTCTTATCCAGAGCGACTTACAGGAGCAATTAGGGTTTCACGCGCCCTTGCTTAAGGGCCACATCGACAGATTTTCACCTAGTCGGCTCGGGGGATTAGAACCAGCGACTTTCGGTTACTGGCACAAACGCTTTACCCCACAAGCTACCTGCCGCCCCCCTTATAGTATATATTATAGTATATATTATAGTATAGTGTATAGTATAGTAGTGTATAGTATAGTAGTTTATAGAATATTGTAAAGTGTATAGTATAGTGTATAGTATAGTGTATAGTATAATGTATAGTATAGTGTCTAGTATAGTGTATAGTATAGTATAGTGTATAGTGTATAGTGTATAGTATAGTGTCTAGTGTATAGTATGTGTTAGTATGTGTATAGTATAGTGTTAGTAGGTATAGTATAGTATAGGGTATAGTATAGTTGTTATGTCTAGTGTATAGTATAGGTATAGTATAGTATAGTGTATAGTATAGTGATTAGTATAGTGTGATAGTATAGTGTTATGTTATAGTATGGTAATAGTATAGTGATAGTATAGTGTGATCGTATAGTGTATGTATAGTATAGATAGTGATAGTATATTAGGACAGGGTGTAGTATTAGTGTTTTATAGTATATAGTTACAGGTCTAGCATAGTGAGATAGGATAGTGTAGAAGTATAGCTATAGTGTATAGTATAGTGTTATAGCTCTCGTATGGTTTTAAAGACACAGTGAAAAAGGTTGCGTTTGTTGTCATGGGACTATGACTTCTTACCTTCTCCTCTGAGTCTCCTGGCTGACAGGTAATCACGCCATCGCCAGGGCACCTGGGAAACGTGTCCTTACAGTTCCTCAGCCACTGGAAATGAAGAAGAGAAAGTGAAAGGGAGGGGGGAGAGAGGGAAAGAGAGAAAAAATAGAGAGGGGGAGAGAGAGAAAGAGGAGAGTTACTGATCAGGGCTTGTTAGACTGGGCTAGCTGGTCAAAATCTCAACTAACAGATTGTAGCGTAAATTCTAGACTTTTCTGTCAAGTCCAACTCATAACGATACGTTTGAGAAAAGAGCTTAACAGCTCAAAGTCAGTATCGCTATGGATGGTAGTGTCTTAGCAGCTCAAAGTCAGTTTTGTTATGGGTGGTAGTGTCTTAACAGCTCAAAGTCAGTATCGTTATGTGTGGTAGTGTCTTAACAACTCAAAGTCAGTATCGTTATGGGTGGTAGTGTCTTAACAGCTCAAAGTCAGTATCGTTATGGGTGGTAGTGTCTTACTGAGAAGCGGCCCCTCTCTGTTGTTGTAGGTGTCCAGATACTCCTGCAGCTCCAACACACTGAACTTCATCTTCTCTAGTAAACCATAGGAGATGATCTGGAGCGAGGGAACAGAGGAGGAGAGGAAAGGACGATGGGAGGCGAGGAAAGAAGAGGGTGGGGAGAAGAGGATAAGGATAGGAGAGGAGAGGAGAGGTGGGAGGAGAGGAGAGAGGAGACGAGAGGAGGAGAGGAGAGGAGAGGGAGAGGAGAGGAGAGGAGAGGAGAGGAGAGGAGAGGAGAGGAGAGGAGAGGAGAGGAGAGGGAGAGGAGAGGAGAGGAGAGGAGAGAGGAGAGGGAGGGTGGGAAAGGGGGGAAAGGATACGAGGAGAGGAGAAAGGGGAAGGAGAGGAGGGGGTGGGAGGATAGGAGAGATGGAGAAAGAGGGGGAGAAGGAGAGGGAGGGGGAGAGGAGAGGGGGGGGAAAGGGGGAAAGGGGAGAGGGAGAAAAGAGGAGAGAAGGAGAGGAGAGGAGAGGGAGGAGGGAGGAGGAGAGGAGGGGAGAGGAGAGGAGAGAAGGAGAAAAAAGAGGAGAGGAGAGGGAGAGGAGAGGAGAGGAGGAGGAAGAGGAAAAAAAGAGGAGAGGAGAAAAGGGGACGAGAGAGGAGAGGGAGGAGAGGAGAGGAGAGGAAGGAGGGAGAGGAGGGACAAGAGGAGAGGGGAAGGAGAGGAGAGGAGAGGAGAGGAGAGGAGAGGGAGAGGAGAGGAGAGGAGAGGAGAAAGGGGAGGAGAGGCGGGGAGGAGAGGGGAGGAGAGAGGAGAAGAGGTGAGAGGAGAGGAGAGGGTGAGGAGGAAGGGGAGGGGAGGGGGAGGAGGAGGAGGGGAGGGGGAGGAAAAGGAGAGGAGAGGGGTGGGAGGGAGGAGAGGGGAGAAAAGGAGAGGAGAGGAGAGGGAGGAGGGAGGAAGGGAGAGAGGAGAGGAGAGGAGAGGAGGGGGGAGGAGAGGGAGGAGAGGAGAGGAGAGGAGAGGAGAGGAGAGGAGAAAGAGTTATAATAAGAAATAAAAAGTGTTCACCATCCCAGAATTTAGACTTAAATCCCAAACCCAGGTTCGATCAAAATTTTCCCATCCCGTATGATACTAAATCCCAAAAACGGTTTTACTTGGCAAAAAGAAGGGCATTTTAAACCCAAAAGTAATAATATATGCCATTTACCCAGGACACTTTTATCCAAAGCGACTTACAGTCAGTGGGGATACTTTTTTGTAGGGGTCCCGGGGATCGAACCCAACCCTGGTAAAGCGCCGTCCCTTACCGCTGAGCCCCAGGGAGATTAAGAGGTCCTCTCTTTCCTGTTCAACAGGTTCCAGAGAATGGCAGTTGATGCAGAGATAAACCTTTTGTTCTTAATTACATTGAATTTTTAACGTCAAAATTTTAGAGACGTCAGCATAATTAATGAAAAATTTAACAATAAATTTGACTTTGTTTTTTTTTCCCATCAAACAAAACAAAAATGGTAAAAATTTTAAAAGGAAAATTCTATGAAAAGGGTAATAAAAGATGTGGGCTAGGGTTACTCAAAATACAGGTGAATGCATATTCATAGGGGTGTGCATGCTTTGAGTTTGAGTTTTGTTTTCCCGATTTCATGGGGCTAAGATGACAATTGTTTCCCCTTTCTTTTGGGGGACTTCTTTTTGAACGATCAAAAACATTGATAGAAGTAGTTTTATTTTAAAAATGTATTTTAATAGAAAATGATGTAAGAAAAGAGGTGGTTGGCCCAAGTCGAGCACAGTCAGTTCACGGGGCAATGAATTTTTGGGAGAGATGGAGAGAGAACAAATAAATAAAGGGAAAAATTTTTGGGGGAAAGTTTTTGAAATCAGCAATTTTGGTTTTTTTTTTGCATTTTTTTATATATCACAAACAAAGACTGGGGGTGTAAATAGTTAGTTTTAGCTGTCAGCTGAAAGGGAAAAGTTAGCCTCAATTGCTGGAAGTAACGTATTTTGCATCAAATCAAATAAAAAGGTATTGGTAATGTTGGTAAAAAAAGGGTGTGATAAAGGAAAAGGTTATTACGGGCCCCTCCCCAAAAATGCAGAGAGGGGAAAAATAGGAAATTAAAAAATAATAACAAAGGGAAAAAATACACAATGAGTAACGATAACTTGGCAAAAAAAGGGGGGGACCAGTACCGAGCGAGTGCGGGGACGGGAAATTAGGTGTTTGACTTAATAGGAATAAAGTGACTAGGAACAAAAGTAAAAACGGACAAGGCAACAGGATAGAAATAAACGTGAAAGGCAACGGTGAAAATAAACAGTGACAAGGCAACAGGATAGATAATAAACAGTGACAAGGCAACAGGATAGATAATAAACAGTGACAAGGCAACAGGATAGATAATAAACAGTGACTAGGCAACAGGATAGATAAAACAGTGACAAGGCAACAGGATAGATAATAAACAGTGAAAAAGGAAAGGTTTGAAAAAAACCGGGGACAAGGAAAACAGGAAAAAATAAACTGACAGGCAACAGGAAGATAATAAACGTGACAAGGCAAAGGAAGATAATAAAAGGATAGGCAAAGGTAGATAATAAACAGTGATGGCAACAGGATAAATAAAAAACAGTGACTGGGCAACAGGATTAATAAAACAGTGAAAACGGAAAAAGGATAGATAAAAAAAGGGACAAGGAAAAGGATAAAAAAATAAACAGTGATAGGCAACAGGATAGATAAAAAACAGTGAAAAGGGGCAAAAGGATAGATAATAAACAGTGACAAGGAACGGATAAAATTAAAAAACAGTGAAAAGGCAAAGGATAGATAAAAAAACAGTGCAAGGCAACAGGATGATAATAAACGGGGTTAGGAAAACAGGATAGATAATAAAACAGTGTGGGCCCAAAGGATAAATATTAAAAGTGAAAAGGAAAACGGGGATAGATAAAAAACGGGATAGGCAAAAGGATAGAAAAAACAGTGACAAGGAAAAACGGGATAGAAAAACAGGACTAGGCAACAGGATGTAAAAAAGGGGGCAAGGAAAACAGGAAGATAATAAACAGTGACAAGGCAACAGGATAGATATTAAACAGTGACAAGGCAACAGGATAGATAATAAAAAGTGACAAGGCAACGGTAGTAATAAAAATTTGGATGGGCCCAAACAGGATAGAAAATAAACAGGACGGGGCAAAGGATAGATAATAAACATGACAAGGCAACGGAAGATAATAAACAGGACAAGGCAACGGTAGATAATAAACTGACTAGGCAAAAGGATAGATAATAAACAGTGACTAGGAAACTGATAAAAATAAACAGTGCAAGGCAACAGGATGAAAATAAACGTGATAGAAATGATAAATAATAAACAGTGAAGGCAACAGGATAGATATAAAAACAGTGATGGGCAAAGGATAGATAATAAAACGTGAAAGGAAAAGGGATAGTTAAAAACAGGACGGCAACAGGTAGAAAAACAGGACGGGAAAACAGGTGGGATAATAAACGGACAAGGAAAAGGGGAAAAAAAACAGGACTAGGAAAACAGGATAGAAAATAAACAGTGACAAGGCAACGGATAGATAATAAACAGGGGACGGGCAACAGGATAGTAAAAAACAGGATAGGCAACGGAAGATAATAAACAGTGCAAGGCCCCCCCCCCCCCCCCCCCGGATAAAAATAAACAGTGACTAGGCAAAAGGATAGTTAAACAGTGAAAGGAAAACAGGAAGTAATAAAAGTGCGGGGCAAAGGATAAATAAAACGTGGCGAAGGTAGTTGAGTCAAAAAAATTTTGGGCAAAAGGGTCAATCAGACAGTCCGGGTAGTTTTGGGTTTAACTATTTAAAAAAACATTAGCGTCTTAGGCTTGGGGGTAGGAGAAGGTTCGGGGTTTCCTGGGGGTTCCAGACTTGGGTGTCGGTCCCGCTTCCCATGCGGTAGCAGAGAGAACAGTCTAGACGGGTGGTTGCAGTCTTGAAAATTTTTGGGGCCCTTTCCCTCTGACACCGCCGATATAGAGGCCCCGGATGGCAGGGAGCTTGGCCCCCAGGATGTACTGGGGGGTATGCAGTACCCTCGTAGTGTCTGCGGGCGATGCCCAAACAGTGCCCTACAGGGGGTTTTTAATGAGCCGTCAAAATGCCCGGTGCCCCGTTAAAATTTTTAAAAAAATCAGAGGGCCATGCGAATTTCCCGCCGAGGGGGAAAGACGCTTTTTGCCCCCCTCTTCAGTGTGTTTGGGGTGGTGGCCCCATGATAACGTAGGATGTGGACACCGAGGAACTGAAAGCTCTCTGCCCACTCCCCTACAGCCCCTTCGATTTGGGTGGGGGGTGCCCTAGCCGGGAAGTGTTCAGCCGGTTTTTAATTGTTTTTTTTCGAACAGGAAAAAAAGGTTTTAACATTTCTACATGGCGTGTTCATTTTGTGCAGCTTTAGTGGGGGTCAACACGACGCCCCCGACCCCAGTCAGACTAGCAGTGGGGGTGGAGCAGGACAATGTGTGCTATACCCAAAAGGGGGGGAGTCTGCGCTGATATAGATTGTCCCTGGAAAATCTGACGAATAACCGTTTTTCCCAGTATCTAAAAAATACAGACGTTCGGTTTTTTTTTTTCCCGGAAAAACTGTTCAAACCATCCTAAAAGTTTTACAACCTCCGATTACAATCAATGGACATTATTGTTTGATATTTCTATGAAAACACCAAATCCATTGCTATATTTTCAGTCATACAAATGCTAGGTTTGGCAGCCCAAACCCCGTACCCTATCAGCGTCGAGTAAGCGGGGGCAGTGGAAACGTTTTTCAACATGTCAGATGACCTCACAACTTTTACCAGCCCCCCGGCCTCTCTAGGAACCCCCGGGTCCTGGTAGGGGAAAAGAACTTAGATGGATTTTGAGAAAAGGGCGAGGAGAAAGAGAGAGAAAGAAAGAGAGAGGGGGAGACGTTTCATGTTATATAAAACATAAGAGCAGTTCACCATGATCATCCAGTGTTACACCAAGAACATAGAACCTTGCAGGGGGTTGATCAGTTTTATTTATGAGTGAAACAATCGATGATTTATTTCCTGGAAGAGCGATGAGAAGACGTGGAAGGTATAGACGGCACAGGAGCCGTCTGAGTCGGGACCCGATGGGTTTAATGGGAACGCCAGCCCCCTCGCTGTCACAAAAAGTGGGCTGGAAAAGCGCCAATAGGCGGGAAGAACGGTAGGGGGGGGAAAGGGGGGAAACCAAGGTCCTTAGGGGCATCCACCACACGGAGATATCAGCACGGGGAAGGGAGAACAAGAAGGGCCGGGACAAGTAAGTTAGACATGATTTTGGAGTTTATAAAACCATATCTTTTTTGGGGTGATACAACCATATCATTGATTTTGGAGTGATACAACCATACTCATGATTTAGGAGTGATACAACCACTACTCATTGATTTAGGAGTGATACAACCACTACTCATTGATTTAGGAGTGATACAACCACTACTCATTGATTTAGGAGTGATACAACCACTACTCATTGATTTAGGAGTGATACAACCACTACTCATTGATATAGGAGTGATACCACCACTACTCATTGATATAGGAGTGATACCACCACTACTCATTGATATAGGAGTGATACAACCACTACTCATTGATATAGGAGTGATACAACCACTACTCATTGATATAGGAGTGATACCACCACTACTCATTGATATAGGAGTGATACCACCACTACTCATTGATATAGGAGTGATACAACCACTACTCATTGATATAGGAGTGATACAACCACTACTCATTGATATAGGAGTGATACAACCACTACTCATTGATATAGGAGTGATACCACCACTACTCATGACCGCAAACTATGGCTGAACCGTGGTTGACTGTCCTCGACTATCGTAGCAGTTTTTTGTGTTGGGAACCGTGTGACCTGAGCCCTTTTCTTGTACAACTAGCTTATCAGCAGTAGTCATCTTGTTATCAGTAGTAGTCATCTTGTTATCAGTAGTAGTCATCTTGTTATCATTAGTAGTCATCTTGTTATCAGTAGTAGTCATCTTGTTATCATTAGTAGTCATCTTGTTATCACCAGTAGTCATCTTGTTATCAGTAGTAGTCATCTTGTTATCAGTATTAGTCAGTCATCTTGTTATCAGTAGTAGTCAGTCATCTTGTTATCAGTAGTAGTCAGTCATCTTGTTATCAGTAGTAGTCATCTTGTTATCAGTAGTAGTCAGTCATCTTGTTATCAGTAGTAGTCATCTTGTTATCAGTATTAGTCAGTCATCTTGTTATCAGTAGTAGTCATCTTGTTTTCAGTAGTAGTCATCTTGTTATCAGTATTAGTCAGTCATCTTGTTATCAGTAGTAGTCATCTTGTTATCAGTATTAGTCAGTCATCTTGTTATCAGTAGTAGTCATCTTGTTATCAGTATTAGTCATCTTGTTATCAGTAGTAGTCATCTTGTTATCAGTAGTCAGTCATCTTGTTATCAGTAGTAGTCATCTTGTTTTATTCATGTATTAGTCAGTCATCTTGTATAAGTCACGTAAGTAGTCAGTCATCTTGTTATCAGTAGTAGTCATCTTGTTATCAGTAGTAGTCAGTCATCTTGTTATCAGTAGTAGTCATCTTGTTATCAGTAGTAGTCAGTCATCTTGTTATCAGTAGTAGTCATCTTGTTATCAGTAGTAGATCAGTAATCTTGTTTATCATTAGTAGTCATCTTGTTATCAGTAGTAGTCATCTTGTTATCAGTAGTAGTCATCTTGTTATCAGTAGTAGTCATCTTGTTATCAGTATTAGTCAGTCATCTTGTTATCAGTAGTAGTCATCTTGTTATCAGTAGTAGTCATCTTGTTTTCAGTAGTAGTCATCTTGTTATCAGTATTAGTCAGTCATCTTGTTATCAGTAGTAGTCATCTTGTTATCAGTAGTCAGTCATCTTGTTATCAGTAGTAGTCATCTTGTTATCAGTAGTAGTCAGTCATCTTGTTATCATTAGTAGTCATCTTGTTATCAGTAGTAGTCATCTTGTTATCAGTAGTAGTCATCTTGTTATCAGTAGTAGTCATCTTGTTATCAGTATTAGTCAGTCATCTTGTTATCAGTAGTAGTCATCTTGTTATCAGTAGTAGTCATCTTGTTATCAGTAGTAGTCATCTTGTTATCAGTATTAGTCAGTCATCTTGTTATCAGTAGTAGTCATCTTGTTATCAGTAGTAGTTCAGTCATTGTTATCAGTAGTAGTCATCTTGTTATCAGTATTAGTCATCTTGTTATCAGTAGTAGTCATCCTGTTATCAGTAGTCAGTCATCTTGTTATCAGTAGTAGTCATCTTGTTATCAGTATTAGTCAGTCATCTTGTTATCAGTAGTAGTCATCTTGTTATCAGTAATAGTCAGTCATCTTGTTATCAGTAGTAGTCATCTTGTTATCAGTAGTAGTCAGTCATCTTGTTATCAGTAGTAGTCATCTTGTATCGTATAGTCATTTTATCAGTAGTAGTCATCTTGTTATCAGTAGTAGTCATCTTGTTATCAGTAGTAGTCATCTGTTTATCAGTAGTAGTCATCTTGTTATCAGTATTAGTCATCTTGTTATCAGTGTATTTGTCAAGTCATCTTGTTATCAGTAGTAGTCATCTTGTTATCAGTTAGTCAGTCATCTTGTTATCAGTAGTAGTCATCTTGTTATCACGATTAGTCAGTCATCTTGTTATCAGTAGTAGTCATCTTGTTATCAGTATTAGTCAGTCATCTTGTTATCAGTAGTAGTCATCTTGTTATCAGTATTAGTCAGTCATCTTGTTATCAGTAGTAGTCATCTTGTTATCAGTAGTAGTCAGTCATCTTGTTATCATTAGTAGTCATCTTGTTATCAGTAGTAGTCAGTCATCTTGTTATCAGTAGTAGTCAGTCATCTTGTTATCAGTAGTAGTCATCTTGTTATCAGTAGTAGTCAGTCTTGTTATCATAGTAGTCAGCATCTTGTTATCATAGTAGTAGTCATCTTGTTATCATATAGTAGTCATCTTGTTATCAGTGTAGTAGTCATCTTGTTATCAGTAGTAGTCAGTCATCTTGTTATCAGTAGTAGTCATCTTGTTATCAGTAGTAGTCAGTCATCTTGTTATCAGTAGTAGTCAGTCATCTTGTTATCATTAGTAGTCATCTTGTTATCAGTAGTAGTCAGTCATCTGTTATCATAGTAGTCATCTTGTTATCAGTAGTAGCAGTCATCTTTTATCTGTCGCTAGTCATCTGTTGTTTCAGTGGTGTCATGTCTCTGTTTCATGTACGTGTCATCTTGTTTCATAGTCTCTCTTGTATCTGTATGTTCCTGTCTCTTGTCTGTTCGTAGTTGCTCAGTCGTCTTGTTTCTCTGTCTGGGTCGTATCCTGTCTCTGTCTGGGTCTGTTATGTCCTTTGGGTCTGTCCTTCTCTGTCTGGGGTCTGATCCTGTCTCTGTCGTGGTCTGTTTTCCTGTCTCTGTCCTGTCTCTGTCTGGGTCTGTCTGTCTCTTCTGTTCTGTCTGTCTCTGTCTGTCTGTTCCTTTCTGTTGTCTTGTTCCTGTCTCTGTCTGGGTCTGTTCCTGTTCTGTCTGGGTCTGTTCTGTCTCTGTCGGGTCGTTCCTGTCCTGTCTGTCTGTTCCTGTCTCTGTCTGGGTCTGTTCCTGTCTCTGTCTGTCTGGGTCTGTCTGTCCTGTTCTGTTGTCTGTCCGTTGTCGTGTCTCTGTCTGGGTCTGTTCATGTTCTGGGTGTTCTGTCTCTGTCTTGTCTGGGTCTGTTCCTGTCTCTGTCTGGGTCTGTTCTGTCTGTCTCTGTCTCTGTCTCTGTCTGGGTCTGTTCCTGTCTCTGTTCTGGTGTCTGTTCCTGTCTCTGTCTGGGTCTGTTCCTGTCTCCTGTCTCTGTCTGGGTCTGTTCCTGTCTCTGTCTGGGTCTGTTCCTGTCTCTGTCTCTGTCTGGGTCTGTCTTGTTCATGTTGGGTCTGTGTCCTGTCTCTGTCTGTGGTTCTGTTCCTGTTGTGGCTGTGTCTCTGTCTGGGTCTGTTCTGTCTCTGTCTGGGTTCCTGTCTCTGTCTCTGTTGGGTCTGTTCCTGTCTCTGTTCTGTTGTCTGTTCTGTCTCTGTCTCTGTCTGGTGTTCTGTTCTGCTCTGTCTCTGTCTGTGGTCTTACCGTCTCTGTCTGGGTCTGTTCCGTCTCTGTGGGTCTGTTCTGTCTGCTGTCTGGTCTGTTCCTGTCTCTGTCTGGGTCTGTTCCTGTTCTATGTTCTCTGTTCTGGGTCTGTTCCTGTCTCTTGTATGGGTTGTTCCTGTCTCTGTCTCATGTCTGGGTCTGTCTCTGTCTCTGTCGGGTCTGTTCTGTCTTGTCTGGGTCTGTTCTGTTCTGTACTGTGGTCTGTTCCTGTCTCTGTCTGGGTCTGTTCCTGTCTCTGTCTCTGTCTGGGTCTGTTCTGTCTTGTATGGGTCTGTCCTGTCTTGTCTGTCTGGTCTGGTCTCTGTCTCTGTCGGGTCTGTTCCTGATCTGTATCTGCTGGTATGTACTGTCTATCGATCTGGGTGTTCAGTACATGTAATGGTCTATTCTGTCTTGTCCTGTAGTCGTTCTGTCCGCCTGTCTGGCATGTAGGGTGTCTCTGTCTTGTATCTGGGTCTGTTCTGTCCAGTCCTGGGTAGTTCACTGAGTCTGTCCGGGTTCGTCCTGTCTGTGTCTGGTTGTCCTGTGGCTCCGGTCAGGGTACGTCATGTCTCCCTCAGTCGTTCAGCTCTGTGGGGGTCGTTCCATGACAGTCAGATCAGGCCTGGTCTGTCTTAATCTGGGTACTGTCCCTAGTCTCTGTGGGTTGTTCTGCCTGTAGGGTCAGTG